TTATTTATTCAAAACTTAAAGATCATAAGATAGGAAACAATATTCCTAAAAGTCTGATGTAGGGAGATTAGCTGCTCGGTTTGACGAGGAAGTTCAACGTCAAAAGGCTTTTTTAGGGGTCATGATTTCTACTAGTCGGGCTCACGGAGTCAGATTGCTTAATAAATATATTTTCGGAAATGGAAACGGGCCAACGAGTCCAAGTCACGGCTTTTTAAGTCATCCGAGTTCGTTTAAGGCCCGAAAACAGCGTTTAATTAATTCCGGATTTTAATCTTTGCTTATTTTCGTATTAGGGCTTTGTTTAGACTATTTAAACGTTTTAGCCGTCTTTAATAGGGAGTTTTTGACATTTTAATAATATTTTAAGAGTTTTACTCTTTTCTGGTGGATTCCGGAGATTTTTACGGATTTATCGCTTGTAAATTTGTTCTTTTGTATTAGGGATTGCGCTTACTTTTCCTCCCTTAATTCCAACTGTGTGACTGCGTCAAAAATACTACCATAAACATATATCCTAAAGATATATTCACTAAATATTATATTTAACATAAATAAACCTAAATATTTTATTATTTTAATGATATCTACGGAAAATATATATATATATTTTCCGATATTTCATATCTCTAACACATTTCCACTAACTGACCCATCTCTCCCTCTAGTTGCTTGACAATAAACTAGCCCTATTAGTAACCGAGCATCTCCGGTGTTTGTGTAGTTAGGACTCAGTTATAGGCAGAACAAATCAGGTGAATAACATTCTTAGACTTACTGTCGCCATTTACAATTCTGGGTTTGTCTTAATGCCGACAAGCAACATAGAGACGAGCAGCAAAAATTGCATCTTGATTCCTTCCTCTAAAGGGGTTCTGGCCTTCAAGTTATTGTAGTATTATACATTAAAAAAACAGAAGAAAATTTGCTGTATCACAAATATTCATTAATATCATATGATATGGTATGATGATATTCTCTAACATGAGTTTTGATATAATTGTACATCTGCTTAGTACTTATGTGTTCCCATTATGATTGGTTCTTATAGAGCAACAATCTCTTTCAATGTTTGACCAAATTGCTGTTCAATGTGACACTGCACATTCACGCTTCAAATAAAATTATAAATGACCTTTTGTACATGGCAATTGGTCAGTTTATATAATTAGGGAGAGTATCTAAATCATTCACAAACACAATTTTGTAAAGGTGCATAGTGTAATCATAATTTAGAGCACAATTACATAAACTTCTCTGTTGTTTGTTAATGTGGGAAGTATGCTGTTTTGCGTTCCTGCATATCATGTTTATTGTGATTCTATTGGAATATACTATAAATAAATTGTCTGTTTGTTCAGCTTTGGATCTCAGGATTAAAATTGAAGATGTTCTTGGAGAAGTTGACTTCCCAGCTCCAAATCAGTTACTTGTGAATCGGAGAAGGATCTTAAGAGGTGAAGATGCAACTTTACAGGAACTAAACATTGTGGAAGGTACAAAAATTGGTGTTTGGTTTAAGGTGACTACTCTATTCATTTATGATATATTTTCTCCATAATTTTTCTGAATATGTTTTTCAACACGGTTGCATGTTTTGGCTTGCAGCACTATTATTTTTCAGGCAAATCATTGGTTCCCATTCTCTTATAAATTGTTTGAAAATATGCATGTAAAATTACCATTATTGACTTGTATATATTGTTTGAAATTTTGTAGGAGGAAGGGTAATTTGAATCGCGTTGCAATGACTAGTCTTTCCATGTGCAAGGATGATCCAACAAGACTTGGCATTAAAGTCTACACTCGAAAGAAAAAGAAGAATTTGAATGGTTTGTGAATATGAAACCCATTGTCATGTGAATAGAGTTTGCTTTAATTTAGGTGAATGTGCCAGTTTTTGGTTATGATCTTGCTGGTTTTGGTTATGATTTTGCTGTAAATAAATGTTGTTTGGGTCCAATTTCATTAACTGATTGGGCCTAGTCCAAATAACTCAAATCACAAGCCCAAAGCAAGGTCAACATCTCCCAAACAAATGCTAAGGTCAGTCAACGGCCCAGTCCATTTGGCAAGCCCAAATGACTTCCGGCCCAGTCCATACTCCATTAATGCCAAGGTATAAAAGCCATCCAATTAGTTCATTCTCTAAAGATACACACAAAGCCTCAAGCACTAAACTCTTGCATAGCTTTATCTCTCTAATATACTGACTTTAGCATCGGAGGGGCCTTCCTCGGCTACACCCCCCGAGGCTAGTTTACGTGTATTTGCTGTGCAGGAAATCCTTGATTCACCGTCTATTGGGCCGAGTCCGACTTTCCCCTCTCAGTTTCGGACCTTTGTAAGGTCCCATTGATTTCATACCGAAACAATTTGGCGCCGTCTGTGGGGACTGTTACAAAAAATCACGCCAAAAATCAATCCTACGCTCCTAGTGCTAAAAATGACTAAGAGCGGGAAAAACTCGAAGAGTGCGAGGAAGAGCAGAATGATCACGGTGAGGGAACGTCAACCTATCTCACCCTCACCGGAGCCAACTCCTACTCCTCCTCCTTCTCCAAAACCATTCGAATCCTCGTCGACCTCCGAGTCCCGAGGAAAAGGAAACTCCAAAGCTGCTAGCTCTAGAAAAGGGGGATCCTCTAGAAAACCCCCCTCAAACCATTCTCGGCAACCGGCTGATTCGCCGAAACCGAGCCGAACCGGTGCGGGGAATTCTCCTCCGCACCCCAGCGTGCACTCTCGGTCTCAGCCGAGAGAAACTCCTCCCTCGGGACCTTCAACCGAGGAAGTGGCTAGGGTCGTGGCAGTGTGTATGGAGTTCCTAAAATTCCAAGGAGCTCCTCTCTACCCCAAGCCCAAAGAATCCTCATCTCCTAAGCCTAGACACCTGAAAAGAAAACTCGGCCAGGAGAGAGAGGGACTAGTTCAGCCCTACATCGAACTGGGAGAAAAATGGCAGGAACGGGCCGGGAATTCCAGCCAAGAGAGGAAGAAGAACCAACAATTCTTCAACCAACCTGGAGCTCCGAATCCCGAAAGCTTTCGGAATAGTAATGCTGCTTCCGAAGGCCCTGAATCTGCCCGCCGAAGTGTTCACGAACGCCTAGGCTCAAGGGAGACGGACATTCGAAGCCGTCTCACCTTCCCAGCGGATATTGCAGCTCGTCCCGAATTGTCTCAGCCAGGGACAAAAACCACTTCCACCTCAATGCGAGGGAGAAGCGAGGTCCCTTCGGCTGGGCACAAGGGGAAAGCTGTAATGGTCCCTACCAGCTCTCCTTTCCAAAACTGGATTTTGGAAGAGCATGTGCCGACGGTGAAAATACCGGCGCACATAACTTACGATGGTACCTCAGATCCGAAGGATCACATTGCCTCTTACGAGGGGCACATGTATCTCAACCCCAGGTCTGAGGCTACCTGGTGTAAGTATTTTCCTACAACCCTCAAAGGTGTCGCCCAATCTTGGATCACCAAAGGGATAAAGGATGGCTCTATAACTGGTTGGCAAGATCTGTCCAACAAATTCAAGAGCAAGTTTTCCACGGCAAACCGCCGGGAGAAAACAACTGCAGAGCTTATGAGTCTGCAGCAGTCCGAGGACGAAAGTCTCCGAGACTATCTGACTCGCTTCAGCAACGAGTCGTCCAGAATCACAAACCTGGACCAAGGCCTTGCCATATTCGCATTGCGGAATGGTCTGCAAGCTGGAAAGTTCCTCGACTTCATGGTCATGCATACCCCGCAAACTCTGGAGGAAGCTCTCGACGCCTCGGATAAATTCATCCGAGCCGAGGAATGGAACAAAGCAAAATCTCAGTCCCAGCCGAGAACGGTGAGACTAAGAGAGCAGCCTGCCGAACATCAGGTGTCGAGGAAATGGAAGACGAGAGCCTCAGAACCATCATCGGCTCCTGAGCCAAAAAGAGAGAAGTACACTCCTTACACCGGGAGATACGACTCATACTCCCCTCTAACCCTTCCCCGCGCAAAGATCTTCAGCGCGACGAAGGACGAGGGTAAATTCAAAAAGCCTCGGCAGCTGCCTCCGTGGCATCAGCAAAAAGGCAAAGACTGATGGTGCGCATTCCATGAATCTCCTGGACATCGCACCGAGGACTGCCTCCAGCTGAAGGATCAGATCGAAGATCTGGTCCAGAAAGGATACCTGAAAAAATACCTCGCGGAACGCCGCGAGGAGAAAAAAGCCGAGAGAGACCCTCGGGAAGACCTGAACTTTCCCCGGAAAAAGGATAGACAACAAGACAAGTACAACCTCGACATTCTGGTCATATCCGGAGGAACATCTCGAAGTGCGGCCAAACGTCACTTGAGGGGTTTATCCCAGCAAGTTAATCATGCCGAACTTCAAGTTCCACAGTCCCCAGTGCCGAACATTCTGTTCACAGCCGCGGACTGCGAGGGGGTGGTATATCCCCATGATGACCCGTTGGTAATAACAATGGGTATCGCGAACCGCAACGTTTGGCGAACACTCGTCGACGGCGGTAGCGGGGCGAATATTCTCTTCCGAGGCGCATTCGACCAGCTGAGGATGGAGTCCAAGCACCTGACTCCGGTACCGTACCCGGTATCCGGTTTCAATGGCTCTTTGTCATATCCAGATGGGAAAATTCTTCTTCCTGTCACCATCGGCCAAGGCCGAGCAATGAGGAGCATCATGGCCGAATTCCTGGTTATGGACACTCCTTCCGCATATAACGTGATCATGGGGAGACCCCTAATTCACGGAATTCAAGGAGTCGTCTCTACGTACCATCAGACAATGATATACGTCTCAGACGAGGGGCGCTCTGAAAAAATAAAGGGAAGCCCGCAAATGTAACCACCTCAAACCGTCTAAAGCTCGCCGCGGCGACAAGGACGATGAGGAAGAAAAAGAAAAGGACCGTAGCACTAAAAAGCTTAAAAGCTCAAGTGTTTCGGCCCAAGTCACCCCGTCCAAAGACTCGGCAGAACAGCCTCGGTCTGGAATGCCTACTGACATCGACAGTAGGCCGGAATCAGAAGAATCCAGTTTCGAATCCCCGGAGCAGGACAATCAGACCGAAGCAATTCAGTTGGCCGAAGATAATACAGAAAGATGTGTCAGCATCGGGCTAGGGCTTGAGCCGGATGTCCGCGCTGAACTACTCCGTCTCCTTCGCGCCAACGAAGAAGTGTTCGCTTTCTCGGCAGCAGAAATGCCCGGGATTGATCCGAATTATATCTCCTATCAGCTTAACGTCGACCCCACAAGCCGACCCATTAAGCAGAAAAAGCGGAATTACTCCGCACAAAAGAACCTTGAAATTGCAGCTGAAGTCAGAAAACTCTTGGATGCTGGGTTCATCGAACCTTGTCAGTATCCGGAATGGCTGGCCAACGTTGTAATGGTTCAGAAGGCCAATGGCAGCTGGAGAATGTGTGTCGATTTCACGGACCTGAATAAGGCATGTCTGAAAGACTCCTATCCACTTCCAAGGATAGATCAGCTCGTTGACTCGACAAGTGGTCATGCCTTGCTCAGTTTCATGGACGCATTTTCTGGGTACCATCAGATCTTCATGCACCCCGATGACCGAGCTAAAACGGCATTCATTACCAGCTCCGGGGTGTACAATTACAAAATGATGCCTTTCGGATTGAAAAATGCGGGGGCTACATATCAGAGGCTGGTAGATCAGTTCTTCGCCGAACAAAAAGGCCGTAACATGGAAGTCTACGTCGACGACTCTATCGTCAAAAGCAAAGAAAGTAAAAACCATGTAACGGACTTAGCCGAGACCTTTGCCACCCTCAAGAAGCATCAAATGAAGCTGAATCCGAAGAAACGTGTCTTCGGCGTGAAGTCAGGCAAATTCCTCGGCTTCATGGTCAGCAAAAGAGGGATTGATGCCAATCCCGCTAAAGTGCAAGCTGCACTCAATCTCCCCGAGCCAAGAACAAAAAGGGATGTGCAGCGCTTGACAAGAAGAATGGCCGCTCTGTCCAGGTTCATCTCCAAGGCCTCGGATAAAGGTCTACCCTTCTTCAATGCGCTCAAACTTCCCAAATCAAAAGAGCTCAATTGGGGAGACGAGCAAAAGCAAGCCTTTCAGCAACTCAGAGAGCACCTGGCACAACTTTCAACGCTGGCAAGACCAGCCGAGGGAGACACCTTGTATTTATATGTGGCAGTAAGCCCGGCCTCAGTAAGTGCAGTGCTACTGAGAGAAGAAGAAAAAACCCAACAGCCGATCTACTTCGTTAGTCATACTTTGACGGGAGCCGAGACTCGCTATCCCTTACTCGAAAAAGTGGCATATGCAGTGGTGGTAGCTGCTCGGAAGTTAAGACCCTATTTCGACTCTCATCAGATAGTGGTTCTAACTGATCAGCCGCTGGAAAAAGTCCTCGGAAAAGTGGAAAAATCTGGCAGATTAACAAAGTGGGCCTTCGAGCTCACTGAGTTCAGTATCAATTACCAGCCGAGGGCAGCAATAAAGGCGCAAGCCTTGGCGGATTTCTTGGCCGAGTGTTCTTACCAAGAGACGCTCAACGAGGAAAAGAAAATATGGACCGTTTTCACGGATGGATCTGCCACTGTGAATGGTTCGGGGGCAGGGGTTGTCATAACCTCACCCGAAGGAAAAACCTTCGAGTATGCACTGAAGTTCTCCTTCAAAGCTTCGAACAACGAAGCCGAATATGAGGCCGCCATTGCAGGCTTGGAACTATGCATCTCGTTGGAGGCAGAACATATCTGCCTCAAAACAGACTCTCAACTCGTTGCAAATCAGATTAAAGGCGAGTATGAAGCCAAAGAACCTTCTATTGTGGCTTATCTCGCAAAAATCAAAAGCATCATTGCCCAGCTGAGAACTGTTGAAGTTGAGCTGATCCCAAGGGGTCAAAATGCTCAAGCCGACGCACTCTCCAAATTAGCAAGCTCAACCCTGACTGAGCTGAACAGATCTGTCTATGTGGAGGTGCGCCGAGGGAAAAGTGTTGGCGAAGCAGCTTCCGTCTGCAACGCTACACCAGAGCCGAGCTGGATGGATCCCATCCTCGCTTACAAGCTCAGGGAAGAACTTCCCGAGGATAAGAAGTTGGCTTCAAAAATAAAGAGGATAAGCTCCAGATTCATTGTTTTCGGCAGCCAGCTTCTCAAAAAATCCTTCTCCGCGACATTGCTGAAATGTGTAGGCCCGATAGATGCAGATTACATTCTTCGAGAAATACACCTCGGCATCTGCGGTAACCACATTGGCGGAAGAACCTTAGCTCATAAAGCTCTAAGGACAGGGTACTTTTGGCCAACAATGATCTCGGATGCAAAATGCCTGGTCCAGAAATGCGAAAAATGTCAAAAATTCGCTCCGGTTATTCATAGGCCATCTAGAGATCTTCAGCCGGTCCTCAATCCCCTTCCATTTGCGCAGTGGGGACTGGACATTTTGGGTCCTTTTCCCGAGGCTCCATATAAGAAAAAATGGCTGATAGTTGGCATCGACTATTTCAGCAAATGGGTTGAAGCCGAAGCAGCTTCAAACATTACCGAGCAAACTGTCAGACAGTTCATCTGGCAGAATATCATAACCCGGTTCGGCATTCCTAAAGTCTTCGTGTTCGACCATGGGAGGCAGTTCGACAACTTACCTCTGCGCCGATACACAGATCAATTCGGAATCAAACTGGCCTACTCTGCGGTCTGTCATCCACAGAGCAATGGCCAAGCCGAAGCCGCAAATAAGCAAATCCTCAATGCTCTCAAGAAAAGAGTAGAGGATCAAAAGTCCAAGTGGATAGAGGAGCTTCCAGGAACCCTCTGGTCACTTCGGACAACCGAAAAAGAAGCAACGGGCCATACACCCTTCCAACTAGTGTATGGATCCGAGGCAGTGCTTCCAGTGGAAGTAGGCTCAGAAAGTCTCCGAGTTAGTCTCTTCTCAGCCGAGGAAAATGACCAAGTCAAGAAAGAATCCCTTGACTTCCTTGACGAGATCAGGGACTCAGCTCGGGAAAGAATGGCTGCCTATAAACTCAGAATAAGCAAGTCCTACAATCGAAAAGTCTATCAAAGACCTCTTAAAATTGGGGACTTAGTTCTGAGAAATGCTGCAGCTGTGCAGAAGAGCCGCATCCATGGGAAACTCTCAGCATCTTGGGAGGGACCCTATGAAATTTATCAAGAGCTTCAGCCCGGCACCTTCAGACTTAAACAGTTGGACGGCACCGAGCTGAAAAACCATTGGAATGCCGATGTGCTCAAAAAATACCATGTATAAATCCTTCGGGATAGTACAATCTATGTAAGTGCACTTATCTTATTAATAAAAGGCCCTCGAGCCAATGTTTATCCAGATTTTGTGCATCTTTCGATCTTTTCGCTTTCTACGGTTTTTTCTCAAAAATTCGGGGTTTCATTCGGCGCTGACCGAGGTATTTCATAGTGATGCCCTGTACCTCGGCAAGTCGTAAAACCTGCCAAAAAGGGAGCAGGATACAAGCCCGAAGCATTGCATAGTGATGCCTTGTGTTTCGGAGAACCTGTTCCTTTGGGCAAAAAGGTCATAGACTCGTCCGAAACATAGCCTAAAAAATAGGAGCTGATAAAGCCCCGGAGTATTGCATAGTGATGCTTTGTACTTCGGATGAATCAGTTCCGGGTGGTAGTTGCAACTCCGAAGTATTGCATAATGATGCCTTGTACTTCGGATAGACTGCTGCCCTGGTACGGTGTTTCGGATAGTTGTTCCCTTGGATGAATTTAAAAAGGTGTCACAAGAGTACCTGTGAGTGTAAACTCTTAAGTGGGAAATCAGTACCTTAAAAACAAATGTAGAAATCAAAGTCCTAAGTCAAGAAAATTTTCACAAGTAAAGATCCTCAGCTCAGCCGAGGAAATCATCTGCTAAGTCCAGAATTCAGAAGCCTGCATCTTCAAAATTCTGGGGGGGCAAGAGAGAATAAGAGATAGTGGTGTTACTCAAAATTCCTCAGCTCAGCCGAAGTTTGGTGTTACCCAAATTTTCACAAGTTGAAAAAATCCGAGTAAAAACAAACAAAGGCAAAGGAAAGAAGCAGAGTCAGCGCACTATCTCAGACACAAGCGAAGTCTCGGCAAGGCAACCTTGATCAGCCGAAGGTCTATACTTGGAAAAATTTGAGCAAAACATTCAACAAAGCAATAAAGTATTCATAACTGAAAAAGCAAAGAAAGAGACAAAAGCTGAGAAAAATACTTCATTGAAATAAACGTGAGGATTACAAAGTTCTGAATAAAGTCAGTTAGGATCCTAAGATAGTTCGGCAGCCGCCCACAAGCGGATAATACAGCCACCGAGAAAATGTACTTAATCTAAAAAGCAAAATGTACATTGAAAAGGTGCTGAAGCAAAAGAAAAGGCAAAAAGCAGATGCGGGATGTAACAAGCTAAGCTGATGATGAACCGCAAGATTCTGCAGACGACTGCCCGAGTTCCTATGCTTCGGCCGGAGGAGGATCCTTTGCATCTTCTTCATCTTCCTCTTCCTCCTCGGCCTGAACCCGAGCAAGATAAGCCTTTTCGGCAGGATGTGCTTGGAACATGAAGGGGTGGTTCGGCACAGAAGCCCACTCCTCAACTTGATGCCAGTTGATTTCTGGATCAACATGAAAAGCGAGACGCCGAGCTACGTTGAAACCGTTATCGTAGCCCTCTTCATACTGCTCCTGGGTGAAAACCCTTACTTTCAGCAGATCCTGCGCAACCTTAAGTTCATGCTCCAGCTGAGCAATCTTATCATTTTTCTCGGCTGCCTGTTGCTTCAACACAGTGTTGGCGTCTTCAGATGTTTTCAGCTGGTCGCGCAGTTGCTTGGCTGCTACATCCATCTCGCCACACTTACTCTCTAACTGCTGATGCGCAGCCTTCACTTTATCCAATTCCTTGGCTGAAGCTTCAGCGGCCTTCCTTTCAGTTTCGATGGTGCTGCGAATCCGGATTCCGAAGTCCTCAACATTCTCAGCACCAAACTCATCCAGCAGAGCTTGGCCCTTTTCAAACCAAGGAAAGATCGTCGCTTCCATTGTAGCACAGAAGTCCATTGTAGCACAGGAGATATTATGCTCACGCTCAGCATCGAACTCTTCCTTGGCTTTGGCATACTTCAGCTCATTCAGCCGAGCTCTGGCATTGGATTCTCTGGATTTATGCTTCAGCTCGTCAATCATGCCTTCAGCCAGCACGTTATTGTGCACAGCCTGAAAATAAAGTATGTAAATATGTCAGCCGAGCAAACATACTTGGCAAAATTTAGAAGAAAAAGCAAAAAACATAAAGACAAAGAAATGGAAATACAATTCAAGCAAGTTACCTGCATCAGCAGTCTCTTGTTCTCAGCAACAGGGTCAGGGACCCTGACTGCATCTTCAGCAGCCGCAGCAGCAGCATAGCTGGACCATCTTTCGGCCCTTTCCAAATCAGACACTCTGGTTAGGTCCCTAAAAAGCCAAGCTGCTTCAACTCGGCGCTCGCTCAAAAAGGCTCTGGTAGAGTCAGGAACGTCTACCAAAGGAGGGGCTTGATACCCCATTTGCTCGGATTGGAAGGTCCTGAACGACCCCCCGGCAGACGAAGGCACATCTTGTACCTCCTTGGACAGGTCGCCTTCCAATTGTTCTTCAGCCCAGCTGCCAGGCCTTCCTGGCAGTACTTCCAATTCATCATCAGCAGGAGGCTGAACAATGAAAGCATCAGCCTCCCGCTGAATTGCAGTAAAAAAGCCCTCGCCTTCTGGGCGAGGGGTTGGAGATCTTGCAGCAGCAGGAGGGGTCCTTTGCTGGACCTCCTCTTCTTGCGGCTGAGGCGGCGGTGATGGCGGCGGCGTTTGCGGCGGAGGTGGAACCTCCTTGCCAGTCCTGAAGCCGCGCAGGGACCCTTCGGCACAGCGGGCCCCTCATCATCCGAGAGACGAAAAGCTCCCGGCTGGATGTAAGCCCTCTTCAGCCTCTTCCTCTTCTGGCCCATTTCAGATGAGTCAATTTCAGGCTCAGAATCCGAAGAAGTTGAGGATTGTCTCTTTTTCTCTTTGCCGGACTGCAGCAGAGAAAAAAGGGGGGCAAGAGGGAATGATATCAACATGCAAAAAAAAAAAAAAAAAAAAAAAAAAAAAAAAAAAAACAACAAGGCATGCAAAACTCCAAGCCGAGGCAGTGTACTTATCAGTTTCCTACAACTACTCAAGGAAATTACAAGTACATGAAGATTAAGTTACAACAGCCGAAAGAGGAGAAATTAAGCTAAAAAGTCTTAGCTAAAGCATAGGGACCTATCAGTTCATGTTCTCAGATAACAAAAATTACAAGTACCGCAGCAAGCATGTTATCAGCTGAGCATATATACTTATCAGTTTTTGGAACAAAAGACAAAAATTACAAGTATATCAGGCATAATCAGATTTCAGCTGAGCAAAAGCACTTAGCACATTTTCAAGCATGATATTCACAGAAAATACAAGTGCAGCATACAATTAAGGAAAGCTCGAAAAAATAAATAAATAAATAAATAAATAAAGACAGGAAACTTACAGAGCTCTTCAAAAGTTCCTCGTCTGTAGTCCCGAGTGGGCTAGGCTCGCGAACAGGAGATGCAGGTGCAGGCGCAGGTGGTGGTGCCGAAGTGCTAACCCTCCAAGCTTCAGCAGCAACCAAAGCTTGCTCTTCTGGGCGCAGCCGAAAGAATGGGTCCCGTTTTTGGTACCACGGCTTCTGGGTCAAGTAATCAGCTGTGGGAACAATGTCCAGCTGAGAGCTTCTGAGAAAAGGAGCTCGATCCGAAGGAGGGATGATGTCTGGGTCACGCTTAGTCACCACCCTGGATCTGTTGATTCCCAGCAAATTGTAGTCCAGGCCGCAATTGCACTCGTGCAGCACTATTTCAGCCGGAAAGAAAATAGATCAATACAGCAAAGAGCAGTGAAAGAATAATTGAAAACAATAAGAAAATGTTACAAAGTACGATTGCTCGGCCTCAGCTAAGAGACTCACCATCCTGATATTTTCGGTTGAGGCCTACAACAGCAAGGAACCTCTCCTGAAATATGTAGTGGTAGCAGGGAAGCCAAACTTGGGGAAGCCCTGTGGATTGGCTAGCTCCCTTGGTGCTGGAATCCCTCTTGAAAAGCTCAATCTGTTCCAGTTCCTCAGCTGTAAATTCCTCGGGGCCGAGGTTGCCCATTTTAGCATCTGGCCATCTCAGATGCCTCGGCACCCCGCAAAAATTAGGGTGATCTTGCTCGGTTGGGGCCCTAACCCAAATCCACTAGCCTCTCCAATCCTTATCAGAGGTGTCATTCGGCCAAGTGGTTAAATAACCCTTATGGGTCTCAATGCGCCACCATCCAGGTCCATGAACCTCGTTTGACTGCTGGTTATGCACCAGCCTATGAATCTTCCTAAAGACCTGGAGACTCGGCTCATACCCGTAGAAGATGCAGACCCACAAAAAGGTCACTACCCTCCTGATGCTAACCGGGGTTAGTTGGCACAGGGCAATGTCATAAGCATTCAACAGCTGCACTATAAAAGGATGCAGCGGAAATCTAAGTCCGAACTGCAGCTGCCGAGTATATACCCCAACATAATAAGGGGGAGGTCTGTGAATCCTATCCTCAGCTCGGGGCATTTGACACCAATACCCGTCCTCCTCTAAAATCCCATAGAACAGTTCAATTTGTTCGGCGAACCTATGGGTAGTATCCTCCCTAATCCACCAGTCATAGGGGGCTGCAGTGGCTATCCCACTGTTCTCGGCTGGGTTCTGCCATTCACCAACCCCCTCCCAAAGCCTCCTAGGGCCATGTACGGCACCGCTACCCGAACTAGTGGGCTCCTCAAAGTCAGACTGAGGTACTGACCTCAATGGTATTGCAGCTAAGGGAACACTAGGGTCATAGTCCATACTCTCGGTTCTCCTCAAACAAGTATTATAGCGGCTCCGACTTAAACCGGGTAATCGCTGCAATGGGCAATCTCGGCGTTGTCCTAAAAGAGTTAAGGGAAGGTTCAGAGCCTCGTTTTCAGAGTTTTCTCTCTCGTCACTCACATTTGCCATAATTCGAAGTAGAAAAGCAGAAAGACGAAGAAGCAGGAATTCGAAGAAAGCGCGAAAGTAATTGAAAATCAAGTGAAATTCGCAGAAAATTACCTTAAAAGAAGCCGCAATTTGTCACAAATTCAAAAGAGCGCAGCAATTAATATTCCTCGCAGAAGAATCAGAGAATTCAAGGGGAGAAGATTGAGATGAGTTCGCAATAAATGAAGCTCGCAAAGAATTTCAGAGAATGTTGGTGTTTAATGCGTGAATAAACGAAGAATTGTGAAGAGGGGAGTTTATATGTTGCGAAAATTCAAGAAATTCGTGAAAACTAAAACCGCCCAAAAACCCCACAAATTCCCCGTTCAAAATTAAGAACACCGTTGCATACATTTCCAAACCGTTAAACTTCCAAAATTCCCTATTTTCCTTAATTATTCTCATTAAGGCAAATTGTTATCGGTAATTGTCTGGCAAATTCAAAATCCGGTCAAGGTCAATGATCAGTTCTTCAGCAAGCTCAGGAAGTCAAGTTCAGTTGATCGTATCTCGGCTGAGCGCTGAACCCGAGCTAGAGAAATTTGAACTATTTGTCCTTCGGCTGCACAAGAATCCAAACCCAGCCCGTCTTGCATCCGAGCCGGGTCTGGGGGGCAAGTTGTTTGTGTCCAATTTCATTAACTGATTGGGCCTAGTCCAAATAACTCAAATCACAAGCCCAAAGCAAGGTCAACATCTCCCAAACAAATGCTAAGGTCAGTCAACGACCCAGTCCATTTGGCAAGCCCAAATGACTTCCGGCCCAGTCCATACTCCATTAATGCCAAGGTATAAAAGCCATCCAATTGGTTCATTCTCTAAAGATACACACAAAGCCTCAAGCACTAAACTCTTGCATAGCTTTATCTCTCTAATATACTGACTTTAGCATCGGAGGGGCCTTCCTCGGCTACACCCCCCGAGGCTAGTTTACGTGTATTTGCTGCGCAGGAAATCCTTGGTTCACCGTCTATTGGGCCGAGTCCGACTTTCCCCTCTCAGTTTCGGACCTTTGTAAGGTCCCATTGATTTCATACCGAAACAAATGTTGTATAGACTTGTTTTTTTTGTTTGGGTACTTTTATGGTTGCTATGCCTTTAGTTTTTTCTCTCTAAAATGGGAGCTTATTTTGGTCACTAGACTCTAGTCTCTAGAACTGCTAATTTTGGTTTATCACTGTGGTACATTTACAACTTGACATTAATTACTTTTGCTGAATAGTATATCTTATTGCATACTTCAACTATGATCTAATAAATGAAATTTGGAGTTTTCACTTCAAGTGGTTGTTATAATCTGAAAATCTTCTTCTTCACCTTGTGTTGT